AAAAAAAAATTTAGAATGAGGATTAAGGTAATGAGTTCCCAATATACTTACATATAAATTTCATATTTCTTTTGATTAAATTTCAAATCCCGCGCGAAGCGCGGACTTCCCCTAGTTATTTTATATGAAATATAAGGATGCATGAGAACAAACTTTACAAAAAAGTAAAAAAAAAAACCTTTACAAAAAGATGACCGTCGGTTTGATCTCTGAAACCTATGGTAAGAAGACGATTTAACGGACCGAAATTGTGTGTAAATCTTTAAAAAAATTCTGCAAGTTGGGTAATACAGAAATCATTCTATAACTGGTCATTATATTTTAAAGAGCCCAAACCCATTTTGTCAAAAACTCAAAAAATCTGATTGTGACAAACCGAGATGAGAATTAATTTTGTCCGGTTTGATTTCAATTAGTAAATGCTGACATGTCTTTTTTTGCCCCATGCTCTAATGCTGATGTGGAAGCTTGAGAAGTGAGAAAACTCAACTTTATTATATAAGATTTTTTTTATTATTAATAAATAGAAAGTTGTTTAGATTATTTAATCAATTTNAAAATCTGATTGTGACAAACCGAGATGAGAATTAATTTTGTCCGGTTTGATTTCAATTAGTAAATGCTGACATGTCTTTTTTTGCCCCATGCTCTAATGCTGATGTGGAAGCTTGAGAAGTGAGAAAACTCAACTTTATTATATAAGATTTTTTTTATTATTAATAAATAGAAAGTTGTTTAGATTATTTAATCAATTTAAAAAAAAAAAAAATTTAGAATGAGGATTAAGGTAATGAGTTCCCAATATACTTACATATAAATTTCATATTTCTTTTGATTAAATTTCAAATCCCGCGCGAAGCGCGGACTTCCCCTAGTTATTTTATATGAAATATAAGGATGCATGAGAACAAACTTTACAAAAAAGTAAAAAAAAAAAACCTTTACAAAAAGATGACCGTCGGTTTGATCTCTGAAACCTAAGGTAAGAAGACGATTTAACGGACCGAAATTGTGTGTAAATCTTTAAAAAAATTCTGCAAGTTGGGTAATACAGAAATCATTTTATAACTGGTCATTATATTTTAAAGAGCCCAAACCCATTTTGTCAAAAACTCAAAAAATCTGATTGTGACAAACCGAGATGAGAATTAATTTTGTCCGGTTTGATTTCAATTAGTAAATGCTGACATGTCTTTTTTTGCCCCATGCTCTAATGCTGATGTGGAAGCTTGAGAAGTGAGAAAACTCAACTTTATTATATAAGATATGAAGACAAAAATAAAAATAAAATAAGTATCAACGACGAAGAACACCCTATCATATTCCGTATCAGTTTCTTCCAAAATAGAAGTCATGTTTTGACGTAAATTGACCCAATGAAAACAATCATTACAAGTGAAATTTGTATATTAATATAAATTTAAGAAACTGAAGGTAGAACAGCTTGGATTGCACTGTTTCGTTTCGGCATATCACATATATGATTATGATAACAGACCTACTTATTCGGTTATTCTTGGTTGATATACATGTATGTAGTAGGAAGAAGCTAGTCGGATTCGTTACAGCGTGTAATTAATTAGTATTTGACTATGTGTCTTAGATACCTAACTATTAATTAACCTAACTTCAGGACTTTATATTTCTACATTTTTGTGCTAAGACTTTATATTTATACATAATGGTATAGTCTGTTTCCTCTTAAATATAAAACTTTTAAATATAGTTGAAGAAATCGTTTTTGTTTTCAGTTTTCGTGTTAATCTCCTTTAATATCTTACAACTAGTGTTGTTTAAAGTTTTTACATCATAAGTTTTATCATTTATCACAGAAAAATGTCTGAACTGTTTAATTTTTTCGCCCTTCAGATACGCATCATTTAATATCTTACAACTAGTGTTGTTTAAAGTTTTTACATCATAAGTTTTATCATTTATCACAGAAAAATGTCTGAACTGTTTAATTTTTTCGCCCTTCAGATACGCATCATTTAATATCTTACATCTAGTGTTGTTTAAAGTTTTTTACAGCATCAGTTTTATCACAGAAAAGAAAACATAAAACACATTATCAAATGAAATGCAAGCAATAATATAAAAAAGAAGAATAAATAAATGTAGATATGCATATTGGTGAGAGAGACACCTGGTGCGACTTTTTTAGACGAACGCGGAAAACGAGTAACAAAAAGTACAGTTGGCTGCTCTTTCCCAACCACACCGTCTTGTATTAATACACCTAAAAAGGCAACTCAAAGATAAAAAAAAAGAAAAAAAAAACGAGGAAGAGCACTTACAAGTCGTAGACAGGGAGATTCTCGATAGGCCGAGAGAGAGAGAGAGAGTTCTCCTTCTCTTTACATCAGTCATGGCCAAACGCAACCTCTTCTTATTCAAAGTTCTTCTCCTTTTTCTTGCTCTCTCACCGAGAAGTAACGCCCAAGGAGTTGGAATCAACTACGGCCAAATCGCTAACAACCTCCCGTCTCCGTCTAGAGTCGCCGTTCTCCTCCGTTCACTAAACATCACAAGAGTAAAACTCTACGACGCAGACCCAAACGTCCTCACGTCCTTCTCAAACTCACAAGTCGAATTCATGATCGGTCTAGGCAACGAGTTCCTCCAAAGCATGTCAACAGATCCGACCAAAGCTCAGAGCTGGATCCAACAACGACTCCAACCCCACATCAACAGAACACGAATAACCTCGATCGTTGTCGGAAACGAAATCATTAAAACCAACGACCGTGTCTTGATCTCAAGTCTCTTACCGGCCATGAAAGCGGTGTACTCTGCTTTAACCAGTCTCGGTTTAGAGAAACAAGTAACAGTAACTTCTGCTCATGCACTAGACTTTCTTCAGACATCTTATCCACCTTCTGCTGGAACATTCAAAGAAGAGTTCATACAGTTTCTTCAACCACTTCTTGATTTCCACGCTCAGATCAAATCTCCTTTCTTGATCAACGCGTACCCTTTCTTCGCTTATATGGACAGTCCTAAAGAGATTCCCTTAGAGTATGTTCTGTTTCAGCCGAACCAAGGGATGGTAGATCCGAACACGAATCTTCATTACGACAACATGTTGTTTGCTCAAGTCGATGCGCTTTATTCGGCGATTAAAACGTTGGGACATACTGATATTGAGGTTCGGATCTCGGAGACGGGATGGCCTTCTAAGGGAGATGAGAAAGAGGTCGGAGCTACGCCGGAGAACGCGGCGCTTTATAACGGGAACTTGCTGAGGTTGGTGCAGCAGAGGAAAGGAACTCCGGCGAAGCAGTCTGTTCCGATTGATGTTTATGTTTTTGCTCTGTTTAATGAGAATCTTAAACCCGGTCCGACTTCTGAGAGGAATTATGGATTGTTTTATCCAGATGGTAAACCGGTTTATAATGTCGGTTTACAGGGTTATCTTCCGGATATCATATACAGTTCAAGCGCTAGTACAGTCAAGGTATATCGTTGTAGTTCTTAAATGATATATTGGTTTTTGTTTTTAAACATTAATCTGCAATCAAGATTTCAAGAACTTAATTTTCTAGAAATCAAAAGAATTAAGTATTGCCTTTGGTTTCTATTTCTATTTTAAAGTTTTAAAATCTACTTATGATTTTTTGAAAACCCAGATACTCTGGAAAAATCTACATTCATTATGAGTTTAATTTTGTGAAATCGGTTTCGTCTTGGCAGAAGGTTGCTTTCAACGTATTCTTGAATTGGAATTTATTTTTCTTCAAGAAAATACAATTTTGGTAATTTTTATTTTTTTAAATTGTAAAAGTATGAGAATCACTACAATAGTATGTCATATTATATTATTTATATTTTTACCCTTTGGTTTGCGTTTATAATTCTTTTGTTAGTGGTTTGGTAACAAACCAAGAAAAGTCGTAATCTAGTGAAAGTTTCGTTTCTTTGTAGTCACAATATTTATTATAATGCCATATTAGTGTAAGAATAAATCTATTTTCTTGTTAGATTAAGAATATATTTAAATGAAAAAAATAATTGATAGTAATGTGGATGTTGAATGCTTGTGCAGACTTTGAATTTGTGGAGAGCCGTGATGGGTTTGGCTGTAGGGGGGTTGATACTTGATATGGGCGTCAAAATGAGGATGAGATAAGCTTGGTGTCCTTGTCTGCCCTTATAGGTTTATTTTTTGTTTGTTTTACAAGAAAGTTATTGTTATAGGTGAGGTATACAATTCTTTGTCATGTGTTGGATCCACGATTAAAAACAAAATCAATTTATTCTGTAACTGAAAAATCTTTATAAACTTTTTTTTTTGTTAGTTTTGCTGAAAGTATATATGAATAAAATCCATTCCATTTAAGTATGCTAATAATGAAAAATAATTAAGTAACTAACTGTACCCATTTAGTGATTCATATAGCTCAACTTGTGTTAACAAAAAAGTGATCCATAGCTCAACCGATCAAGTTAAATCATAAATTTGACTTTTAACTCAAAACTTTTCAAAACTAAGCCAATTTATGGTTTTGGTTGGTAACATGTGTGTTGTTTATTTTGAGTTAGGGATTTTATTCACTGATAACTTAAAAATGTTACCAATTAAGTATTAAATTTAATGTTCTGATTTTAACATTGACTTATTATGTGTTTTAAAATTGTTATCTCAAATGTTAATGAAAAATGTGTGTTTAGAAGTTGAGTTAGAGCATCGCCAACCCATTCCATATTTTACTGTAAAATGGAGAGGGAAATAAAGTAATGAACAAACAAAAAACTTATTACTCCATTTATAGAGGAATCATTTTTTTGTTTGTTCACAATTCTATTTCCCATTTTATTTTGCAGAAAAATATGGAGTAGAATTAAAAATGCTTTTACGATGTTAACTGCTTTTCTATTTAACAATAAAATTGAAAATAATAAATTTTCAAAACATTCGTGTGTCAAATTACATTTGTAGTTTTTCTTTTGTTTTATAAAATTTTAAATATTATTTAGGTATCCAATTTCACACTATAGCAATTTATTATTTTACTTTTGTTTGAAAATATTACTTTGCCTATATGTTAAGCTAAATGTCTTACATGATTACTAAAAGTTCAGTAAAAAATGTGTTACATGATTAGTTTTTCATTAACATTTTAAAAAGGTGGTCACACAATACTTGTATTATCTGCAACTTGCAATCATGCATCTGAATCGTTTCTCGTCATATTAAAAATGTTCCTTGCAAATTCAGCTATACGAAAGTCCATCGGTAATAACATCAATCATTTCTTTATAGAAATTGTCAAAAAGTCGGTTTGTTCTACTAATTTTTATTCATAGTTTATTCATTTCGTATCCTTTGTTTCCACGCGACAGTGCTGGTCCTGCTGGAAACGGGTTATATCGGCTTTAAGTTTAGAGATGTGTAGTGAAAAGATAATTTTAGTGAGTGCATATACGTCTCAAGTCTTAACTTATCATTCCTTGTGCTGATGATAATATTCTCTTCATATTAGTGTTGATCCTTAGCAAAATTATTGGCTCTCAGTATTTTTTTTTTTGTTAAAAATACTTAGTATTAAGTCTTCTTTTCCGTGCCAGATAGAATTTGATTAGCTAGTTATAAGTTTTAGCTCAGGTTCTATTCTGGTATTAAGTTCTTGTAGGAAGTGTCCCTATATAATATTACGATCTCTTTGGTGTGGGGAATATACTGAGTGAAGGAGAGGATTTAGACTTGTGTTAAGTGCTAACCCGATTCACGTGAGAGAGTATATGTAAAAGGCTGTGATATAGAGCCTATCTTCTTCGTCGTTTGTAGGAGAGGAGAGAGAAACTGATCTGAGATTGTAACAGATCATGTAGACGAGTTAGAGAGAGAAAAGAACACCATTGTAAAGACCGGAGCTCAAGTTCCGGAATGGTTCTAGTGATTGCTAGTATACCTCCGCGGTGATGTATAGCGGCTTCTCCAGATCAGAGAAGTGCGGTGAACACCAAGTAAACAAACTTTGGTGTCTCTTGTTTATGCTTTGTTCTTTCGCTTCATAAATCCAAGTAGATTCAAGATAGGGAATCGTAATAGTTCTGATCAGTAGCTATGTTCTTCTTATGGTTTGTATTTGTGCAGGAATCAAAAGAGAATATTGCATCTGGATGTGTCTTAAATTTCTGTGCACCTATAAAAGGTCAACATTCGTAGGGACTATCAAGGTTCACATCTGGGGGGTACGAGAGCCACATGCCCCTGCAGCACGGTATGTCTTTTTAGTTTAAGAATTTTTTTTTAGATAAGAATGTATTCCTATAGGAAAAAGAAATCGTTTTTTTTTGGGCTGCTATAAATATGGATTTAAGAGATCGGAAAGGTATTCATTCACACAATAATATACAAACTCTAAACGAGTATTTGCCTCAATTTATTTTGCTTTTCTCGAATTGATTCGCGTTTGTTCACAACAGAAAAAACTCATGATAAATACAAGTTCACACTCCAAAACCGGTAGTGGTACGTCTCAGTGATCGTAAACCCAGCTCACAAGAGTACCTAAGAGAAACCATTTACAAAGAGCACACACCAAACTTGCATCCCTTAGCTACAGAGAACAAAAATATCTCAGAAGAAGAGGATGTAAACAACGAAACAGATACTCTCAATCATTACAAGTTCGTCTCTCAGCCTTTCTCTCTTTATCCTCTCTATACAATGCAAAAGCTCTTGCTTGCTCCTCACTCTCACGCTTACCCACAACTTCTCATACTCTTACTTATGTACAATTTCCTTTTGGTAGTATAGTGTTAGTCGACTGTTACATCAATTCTCACACACACGAACTCACAGTCTTGGTGTGACACCAAAATGCAGATCCCAAAGTTTATCCTTCAGCTTGGTCTTATCCTCTTCTGCTTGACTTCAACCTAGGATACAGAACACTTGGCCCATCGACAAAAAAAATCCAACTGGCCCAAGATCAAAATCGCATCTCACAGTCTCCACCTTGATTCACATTTTGATTCAGCTTCAGCCATGTCTTCCTGATTAGCACTAGAAAGTATGAAATGGCTTCCCAAAGTTTTAGAAACTGATCTTGATTCAGCCATTCCAAAAATATTCAGAACTTTCTCTATGTACGCTTCGTGCGAAAACATTAAAACACCTTTACTCATGTCCCTGATGTCTTCCATGCCTATGAATCTCTTTGTAGCTCCTAAGGCTATCATCTCAAACTCCTTGCTAAGTATATCCTTCAACCTTTGAAGTTTTTGTTTTATATCCTTAGCTGCCACTAACATATCATCTACATAGAGAACCAGATAGAGATAGCTCTCATCATCATACATCCTGAGTTACAAGCAAGATTCAAACTGGCTCCTTCTAAAGTCTTGTGATCAAATCTCAGATTCACAGTCGTGGATGTAAGATAAACTTTTATGATTTCAATTTATGAAATCTATCCAAGAACATCTTTTAGTTTAAATTAATTCAACCCTATTACTTTCTAGAGAAGAAGAAAGAAACACTAACATTGATCTATGCTTTCCTTTGTTGAGTATTTGGATCAGTCCACAATCTGATCTTCTCCCCTTTAACCTTCTATTTAGTGATTTCCTTGATGGACAAGAAATCTCAAACCTTCCTTAATCTCTCATTTCGATGATCAAACTTGACATTATGTGTTTGTTTTGAATGACTCTTTTCTTACATCGAGACCAAATGATGTACGAGTCATTTTTATTAGGGAATTATACTAAAACGGAACAAAAATTCAATTTTTTTGTCCCTTTAGCATAAAACGAACGTATTCAATACCATTAAAACAAAAATATTTTTTTAATGAATGATTTATTTTTTCCAAATTTATCATTAATCTTATGAACAAATTTAGTTTTTAATTAATAGCATTTTTGTTTTTTTTTTCTGCCTAAATACTATATACTAATGGGTTTTATTAATGGGCTCAATTCACTTTCTAATTATTTCTGAAATTTCTTTAAAAATAAACACATCAACTTTAACTAACGTAGTTAGAGCTGAGAAGTTTGATATTAGCCCGCGGGTCTCGCCCCGTTTGACTTGCCATGGAACGAGATCGATCAATTTGAAAAAAAAAAAATTGCGGGTGCGGGTCAAGTGTATTTTACGCGGAACGGGTGCGGAATGTTTTAATTTCAATTCCGGGGTACTAAAATATAGTAAATTTCGTTAAAGATAATTATTATATCTTAAATATTAAAAATTTAATCAAAATATACTATTTAATCTTATTTTAGAAAAAAAAATATTTTTTATTATTTAATAATTATTTACGGGTCCACGGATTATCCGTAAAATTAAGTGAGACGGATGCAGATAAAATATATTTTCTTTGCAGGTCAGACATGACAAGTTTGATCCGCTTCCTAACATCCGATGTAGTTAATTGATATTATTTTCCCATAGTAAAACTACACAATTACATACAATACAATTACATAGATATTGATGATAATAATAAATTAAAACATGCATTAGTTTTAAAAAGTTATATCAGATAGTAACATTTTATACATCAAAGAAAAAGACTTATTGATCCAAATGTAGATAAAACAACAAAAATAATATCTGTATTTTTTAAGCGCGGGTCAAAAATCTAGTTTGTCCCTATAATATAAATATTTTCATTATCTTAAAACTAACATTTTATTAATTAATTACAGTTAAAATAATGTTAGTTTTAAAAATAATAAATAAATAAATAATGGGTTAAGGAAAATAAATAAATAAAAGGGTAATAACAAAATGCTCAAATTGAATCTCGTAACCTTAAACCTATATTTTTCTTCCCTTCTCTCTCTTAATCAACAAAGACAGAAGCGATTCAGGTAGAACTCAATCCAATAAGTGCAACTTACCCCCTTTGTCATCAGCCAGAAACACCTATTTTGTTGTTGTACTTAATTTCCATACACCACAAGTCGTATAGATATGCATCATACAAAAAAGTTTGTGAAAATCAGAAGAAAAATAATGGAGAAATCTATATTGGATGAGAAGACAACCTTTAATCAATATTTTTTGGATTTTTTCTTTGACAAGGGAAATTGTTTCCCAACGTTTATGGCAACTACGAAGATCACAAATCTTTTAAAATATTTTCATAAATAACTTTCAAACTTTCTTTGGAAATTTTGTTTATGTTATCCGTATAATGTACTTTCCACACATCTTAGAAACCATAACATTTTCTTACAAGCAGATTCTACTATAAATAGACTTCTGAGTTATGTCTAGATTTTCGTATTATGAGAGTTTTAGAATTAGTTCAAAAAGTAGAATCTGCATTCAAATATTTTGTAGATCTTTTACATTAAGTAAACTTGACATTCTTCATATTTAAAGTTCTTTATAAAAGTAGATTGTTGTTTCTAAAAAAAAGAGTATAATTTCTTGTTTAACATGAAATGTGATTTCTATCATGCCATTTTTCGTTGAAGATAAAATTTATTTTTCTTAGAATATAATTAAAATTTTTAATTTAACAAGTTTTACAAAATAAAAAAAACATCAATTTGTGTATGTAGACATTTCATCACTTATTTCTATTTTTATTATTTTTATTTATAAAAATATTTGTATTATTAACTTTTAAAAATTGAAAAGGTAAAAATGAGAAAAAAAAATGAAAAAAAAGTTTTATATCAAAGGGACAAGGAAACTGAATTTCTATTCTGTTTTAGCATAGTTCCCTTTTTATTATTAATCAAAGAGATGTTCCTTAACCAACACAACTCTCCGAAATAACACTTCAACGTAACACTTCAACGTAACACTTCGTTATTTTAACCGCACTAGTGCAAAATAATGTATCATCAAATTTTCATTCACACAATAAATTAACTATAACCTAAAAATGAATCATAAGTTAAAAACACCCAATAGCTTTGCATTGTATTATAAGTTTAAAACACCATAGCTTCTTCATCTTCTTCCATCAGTCATCATCGTCAGAGAAGGTTTTCTTCTTACCGCAGAATAATTCAGTTACCTCCGGTTTCTTCAGATAATCTTCTTCTGTCGGAAGGATTTCTTGTCGAAGGTGCTCTTCGTTCCAGAGTTTCTCTGCACGCATGTACCTGGGTCGGATAGGGTATGGAGCCATCTCAACCACGTCGGAGAGAATTTTCAGAGTTCTACTATTATCGTAGAGCAACGCCGTCATTGCTTGGTCAGCAGAAGCAAACTCAACAAAGCCACAGCCTACATGCTCGTCATCGCGGTTCACAACAAGTCGAACACGACAAACTTGTCCAACATTTTTGTAGTAATCAAAGAGATTATATGTTCGTATTCTGGGAGTGAGATTGTAAACAAAGAGTGTCCTTTTTCTTAAGGCTACTTCCTCAGAAAAATCATGAGTTTCATCAAATCCTTCCTCCACTACATCATCTTCTTCGATCAGACGGTTTTCTCGTCCAAGGTAGTCTTCGTACCAAACCTTGTGATCGATATAATACTTGCGATGCCGACGGTCTGAAAATCCCTCAGCCGAAAAAAGAAAAATTCCTTGATCGTGCAAATACTTCTTTTTCAAAGCCTTCTCTGCTTCTTCAGCAGAAGAAAACTCAACATAGCCAATGCCAATTTGGTTGCCCACACAGTCTATAAGAAGTCGAACATGAACAACTTTTCCAACATCTTTTAATAAATCGATGAGATCTTGTATTTTAGTTGGGCGAGGGAGCTTGCTGACAATGATCGTCTTATTTCTTACAGCAACTGCCTCTTGATAAAGTCTTCCTTCTGCCTCATTTTCGTCTCTCACAAGGATCCCTCGTCGAAGATAGTCTTCGTAACAGATCTTCTCTGCAACGTTGTACTTGGGTAGGAGACGGTAGGGAGGCAGCTTAGCTACGTCAATAAAAATCTTGTGATCCAGCAAATATTCACCATTCATTTTTTCCAGCGCCTTATGTGCTTGGTAAGCAGAACCAAACTCGACAAAGCCATAGCCTACATGCTTGCCTTCGGGATTTACAATAAGTCGAACACTAACTACTTCTCCAACATGACTGAAGTACTCGATGATATGAAATAACTTAGTCTGAGGAGAGAGGTTGGAAACAAAGAGAACATTCTCAACAAACTTGGGAGGAGGTGTCTCATCTTCTTCTCGTAGAATGAAATCTTTGTTCCAGACTTTGTGATCTTTGCAATACCTGGGTATGATGTGCACATAAGGGAAAATCTGAGCAAAAATCTGGGGACCTTGCAAATTTTTAATCTTTTGGAGAGCCTTGTCTGCTTCGTTAGAAGAAGCAAACTTGACAAAGCCATATTTTCTAGTCTTCCTGAACCCGTGGTGGACAACAAGTTGAACACGAACAACTTGTCCAACATCTTCGAAGAAATCGATGATATCTGCTACCCCAGCATCCGTAGAGAGACCGCGAACCAAGATGGTTTTCTTTTTTACGACAACGTCCTCTTTATGTTTCTTCAGAATGATAGGTTTGGTCTCCAAATCACCTTTCAGCCTACGCTTCACCAATAAATTATCTGGCTCCGAATCAGATCCCGACTTCTTTTGCTTGCCCGAGGATTTAGCTTCTGTGGTCGATTTCTTAGAAGAAGTAGCCATTGTGAGGCAGCGAAGGAACCCTAGTAATGTATTATCAAATATAATTCTTATGGTAATAAATTCCATTATTATTACCTTTTACATATGTATATATATATAGATATATATATATATATAATTGACAAAAAAATCTATATATATATATATATAACATGAGATTAAGGACATTCATAAATATAATGTAAAGTGTGAGGGTTATCAATACATCTGTATTCTAAGTTTCTAACTCATTATTCGAAACCGATCTATCACAGTATCAGTCTTTTATGTTAGAATCTAAAATATTAATATGAATTTGATATTTATAGACACATCAGATCATATAAAAATATTTTATATAAAATATTCTTACACTGGATAATGTTTTTACCTATACAAGGATCTCTTAAGTAAACACACCTTGTTATCTTTAGTGAACCCTCAAGTTGCTCCATTAGAACTCTCACTACAAGAAAACACAAGTTTTACTAGGACAGTATTGCCTCGTAATTTCCTAGTAAATGGTCTTTTACTAGGAAATTACGAGAAAACGCGTTTTGTCGCAACACGTTCATCGTAAAGCTTTTTTCCTCGTAATTTCCTAGTAAATTTACGAGGAAAATTTTCCTCGTAAACGCGTGGAGACACATTTTCTCGTAAAAGCCTCGAAAACGAATCCTCGTAAAGTCGTAGTAACAACTTTCCTCGTAATTTCCTAGTAATGTTTTACGAGGAATTTACTTCGAAATGTTTTTCCCTATTAAAAAAAAAACTAAAATGAATATAAATAATATATTTTAAAAAATAAAGAATCCAAATTATAAATAAAAAAGAAATAACTAAATATTTTATAAATAACTAAATATTTAAGTTTTAAATTCATATACAATTAAAAAGAAAAAAAAACTAAACTACACATCTAAATTTTTTTTAAAAAAATTAAAACATTAATATACTAATATCATTTAAAAAAAAGTTAAAAAACTAAACCAACCTAATCTAAATTCCCTAAACTAACCACCTAATCTAAAATCCCAAACTAACCACCTAATCTAAATTCTCTAATCTAATCACTTAACAAGCAATTAGATATTACCTTAAGCGGATTTTGAGAGAAGATTGCTACAAATGAGGGAAATCGTATGGCTCGACTTATATAGGAAATTTGGTTTCCTCGTTAGGTCCTCGTAATTTTACGAGGAAATAGCGAGTCCCGCGTTTAGGGTTACGAGGACTTTACGAGGAAATCGCGAGTCCCGCGTTTAGGTTTCCTCGTAAAGTCCTAGTAATTATGTTACTAAGACTTTACGAGGAAACATTTTACTATGAATTTACGAGGAAACAACGAGTCCCGTGTTTTCTTTTACTAGGATTTTACGAGGAAAGGGTTTGTAAATCCCTAAACTCGAAACCCCTAACACCAAACCACAACTTCCTTAACTTATAACCTCTTCTACAACCAAACTTCAAACCTCTTCTACGCCTAAACCCCAAATTCTCAAAACTAAACAACCTAATATAAATTTCATAAACTAACCACCTAATGTAAATTCCCTAAACCCTAAACCCTAAACCTAAATCCTAAACTTAAACCCTAAACCTAAACCAACTTCCATAACTTATATATCTACATCTTCCTAAACCCCAAATCACAAATTTAAAAAAAAAAAACTAAAAGAAGTATACAATCATCGAAACGGTTTTTATCAACCTCGCATAGCTTTCCTCGAAGTATCTACCTGAGGAAAAGCCCCAAGCTATTTCTTTGAGAAAAAGCTATGCCGAGTTGATAAGAAACTATTATGTTGACTGTGAAATCCTTTCAGTTATGAATTGAGTGTTTTCTATCTGTTTGGTGTGTTTGAAATGAATAACAAATGGTGGTATTTATAGAAATTTTCAAATATGAACATTTACTAGGAAATTGCGAGGAAATGTATATATTTTCTAGCCAGTTCCTCGCTAATTAGAAGTAAAAGAACATTTCCTCCTAATTTCGTAGTAATGTTTTACTAGGACTTTACGAGGAAAAGTAACATTTCCTCCTAATTTCGTAGTAATGTTTTACTATGACTTTACGAGGAAACGTTTTATTACGAAATTACGAGGAGCTGTTCTTTTGCCACGTAATTTCCTCGTAATTTTACTACGACCACGAGGAAACAGTTTTCTCGTATGTTTACGAGGACTTTACGAGGATTCTTGTTTCCTCCTAAAATCGAAGTAATCTCGTAGTAAATGTACGAGGAAATATTTTCCTATTAAAATTTCCTATTAAATGCCGAGTTTTCTTGTAGTGTCTCTCCTCCTAATAAACCATGAGGGCTTATAGAATTCAGGCTCTGATTTGGTTGGCACTGGAACAAACTCCTTTGATATCTTAATCCGTAAAATTTCGGCTAAGGATGCTTTAATCAGTAACTTCACTCTCATTTTGCTAATTTTTTTATATGTTAAAGATGTAGGTGAATAAATAATTTTACTTTTTCAAGTACAATTTGTCGATAATAGTACGGCTGATAGAAAGCAGTTTGACAATATTAGTGTTATGACAGGAGACTTCTAAATCGG